GGCGGTGGTGGGGAGGAGGCGGAAATCTTTTTTTTTTTTTTTATCCGCCTTCTCCCAGCCTCCCATTTCCCTCCCCCTCCTCCCGCCCCTCTCACCTTCCCCCAACTCCTCTCCAGAGCAGTCAGGGTTCCCTGCCCTGTGGAAAGTCCAAGGTCCTCCCTCCCTCCACCCAGGTCTAGGAAGGTGAACATCCAAACTGGCTAGGCTCCCACAAAGCCAGAACATGAAGTAGGATCAAAACCCCGTGCCATTGTCCTTGGCTTCTCATCAGCCCTCATTGTCTGCCATCTTTAACAAATTAATTAATTAAAAAAAAAGATTTATCAGTCTCCACCATCCCCATGCCCAGCCTGTATCCTGGCTGCCCCATCCATACTGAGCCGTCTCCCACCGTGATTGTTCAGGTGATGTTCATGTCTTTGTCCAGCTACAGATTAGATTGCTCTGTGATGCGACTAAATCTTTGTTCATTTTTTTAAAGACCAAAGTGGTTTCTTGTTTTCCAGGGTCTTTTCCCACAGTGCTTTGGGGAGACACCATGGGACTCTGATTTCCAACTCTGATCCAATGTGTAGTGTCCATGTGTTGTCTGTGGTGGCCATGGTTGACGTTCTCCATTGTTGGGGGTATTTTCTATGGTGAATATACTACACACTTTTAGGGCTTCCCTTGACTGCCAGAAGATGACTAGAACTCTCTGGAGGAAAGTGGACCTGCAGCCTTGCTGCCCCTCTGAGCAGAATCTCTGCTGTCCCTTTCCATACCCTGGGCTGTCATTAATCCTTCAGGTGCAGGGCTGGAGAGATGCCTCAGTGGTTACATGGTCAGACGGACCCAGATTTTGTTCCCAGCACCCACATGTTGGCTCAAAACCATCAATGACTCCAGTTCCAGAGGTCTAATACCTACTTCTGATGTAGCAAGCCCCGGGCATGCACTTGGTGAACAGACAGACAATACATGCTGGTCTCATGCATATAAATATAATTATGGGGCCTCGCTACAGGTGCTTAAACTAGTACAGGTATCCATATTGTGTCTGCTTATTACTCTGGTAAGATTGTCCCTGCAGCACCTTCACCATTGATCCAAAGAATTGTCCTTAAATCTTCATTTAGCACGGGGGCTCTTAGATTAGCTTCTGTGGCCTGGGAGATGTGGGTTTAGTGCAGATACCCGTCGTTACAGTAGAGAGTCTGAAGCAGGACAGTCAAGAGTTCAAGGCTGGACAGGCTATATTACACAGTGAAACCACAGTGAAAACGTCCTGAAACAACACAAGGGCAACCCGTCCAGCATTCACAAAACCCTGGGCTGTAAGCGGGTTTTCTGTCCTCCTCCAGCTCCTAATCAGAGCATTATCTCTGGGAAAATCCTGCCTAGCTATTGGCAGCTTTTTATTAAACCAATCCAAGTGACATCTCTTCACAGCGTACAAAAAGATTATCCCACAACCCATCCCCAGCACCTCCTGAATCACCTCACAGCACCACATGACAGTGCTTGTGAGATTGCTCAGGAGGTAGAGGCAGGAGGATCAGGAATTGAAGGTCTTTCTTATCTAC